CCCGTTCTTGTCCTACGTCCCGTTTCTTTGAGTTTTTCCTGAGAACGGCCTAGTCGAACCTCGTCTCGTTATATCATTATATCATTTATATTGGTTGCATTACGTGTTTAAATTACGTGTTGTACTTGCTTTGCGACTAATCGAACGTGTTATTAGCTTATGTAATTAAAATGATTTATTGAGTTGTTTTGTTTCGTGGACCTCCTCGACTTTGAGGGTTCGAGTGGGACCTCGAAACATGTGTAAGACTGTGGATATCGGAATCATGTCGAGTTCTAGGCCTTAAGAGAAGGCCTCGGACGAGAATTACATATTTCAAGTCATGTGCATTTATCGAATTCGTATGTTCGCTGTTTTGGTGTTTGAATTTTTAAAAATTGTACACTGATCGGAATGCTATGCATTTATAGCTTGTGTAAAATTTTATAATTATTCACGTATTGTGGCTATTTTTAAAAATTAAAGTGATTTCTGTGCAGAAACGTATTAAATTCATAATAAATCGGTCCATGCTCTAAATTTGCTGAAATTTTAGTATGTTGTCTCTCTTTCTGATATATGCCTTGTGTAAAATTTTTAGAATCTTAGGACTGATATTGGTAGGGTAATTAAATTATTTATGTTTTCTGCTGATATATGTTTAGATAAAGTGGTTAATTGCTGGAAAATTCTGATTTTTGGCTGAGATGCTTATTTTATGTGTACTTGCATACTGTAAAAATATTGGAATTTTTGGATTTGGAATTGGTTCAGTTTTAATTAAAATTCTATAAACTGCTGAATCTTGTATGAATTTTCATAATTTGTGCATTTGATGTTAATTGTTGGAACTTTTATATGTTGATCCTTATTTTCTAAATTTGCTCCAGTAATACTCTCATGTGCTAATTCGTTTGTTCGGTCGGGCTTTGAATTTTATGCTCGTTTTTGTTGATATCGTATTTGAATTTTATAAAATTGTGTTTAATGTCTTTGGGGCTGAAACTTGGTGATTTTACTAAGTTCAAAGAGGACAATTTTATGTTAAAGTTTCAGAATTTAACTCACTCAACATCTTGAATAACCTAATTATGTGATATTCACGTGAACTTCCATGTTTGGTTGTCCGAGTCTAAGTCCTAGTTCCAACATCCACAGGACGTCACGAACAACTTGGTTGAATCAAGTTCGACCAAGTATGACTTGTGAATTTTCCTCTAAGGTCAAGATAGGTGTTAATCTTAGAACCTTGATTATTATAGGTGTTTGAGGAGTCAAGCCTCAACCCACGTCTATTCTATCTTGCTGTTATCAATCCAGTATCCAGGTGCTACTAAAAACTTACTATGTTGTATATGTGTTTCATTTATGTCGGGTTGGTATGATCTAAGTATGCGTGTAAACCATGTAGCCTATCGACGTAAGCCGATTCGGCTGTCGGTATGGTTGTCCCCGTCGATGTAATACGGTTACCCTTGCGAGGTAAGTCTCCTTAAGACCTAATGAAAGGCCGTGTCCGTAGCATGACACGTACCCCCACGAGTTAGGGTAATGAATCCCCTTTCTGTAGGCTAACGAAAGGTGTGTGCATATGGGTAGTATGTTATGTTATGTTGTGAAATGGAGATGTGACAATTAATTGATTTATATTCATACCGCGACCATACTTCTTGACATTATTATTGTGGTATACGTGCATAGTGGTGAGCACTAAATTTCCATTTGTGCTCATCCCCACCTGCTCTTTATGGATACAGGTTAAGGCAGGATGGTGTGCATGACGATCGAGGGGCGACTGGGTACGGTCATGTGTTTATTTTATTTATGCTTCCGTTTAATAAATGTGGTCTTTCAAACCTCTTTATCTATAGACATGTGGAAACCGTTTTCAAAACCTATGTTTTGTTTTGATGGTTGGAAATACTTTGGTGAACCCTTATGTTGGTTTTATGAATAGTCATGATTTTGGTTTTATGTGGTTTCGTGTATTCATGCTGGAATATTGTTATGTGATGTGAACTGGGTTAATGAAAACCGGGTAATGAATCCCCGAGGGTCCAAATAAGACTTGGACTGAGTAAAATGTTGTTTAACACCCATGTATTTTGAAAATGATTTGGAAAATTGTTTATTTGATTTTTGGAAAGCCTGAGATTTCTTTAAAATCAAAGTGGGGTGTTACAGTTTGGTATCAGAGGCAGTATGCGTTTCTGTAAACTGGTTTATATGTAAATTTTATGTGATTATTGCTTGACCTTGTGTTGACCACTCATCTCCGTCATGCCACTCTGCCTTAAGGTATGTCCTACTTAAGTATTAATGAAAATGCTTAGTATGTGAATTATGAATTTGGACATATGTAGCAGTGAAACTACTTGTGGTGTAATTGTTATTTTGGGGCTTAGGATTTATCCACCTTGTTTTATATTTGAACTCTAGTGTTGGTTGGCGAACTCTAGACTTCCATATTTATGTTATTTTGCTAAACCTTTTCGACCTATTCAATGTAGAGCTATGAATACCCGCAACAGGCAGCCATCCCGTTCTCCTTCCCCACCACCTCAT